TGGCTCGTTCTGCAGTCTGGGGGTAGCTAAAGAGAGAACTGTGATCTTTGGCCAATGGTCTGCAAGGGGTGGGAGGGTAGCTTAGGGCTTGGACAACTTGTTTCCAACGCAGTGAGTAACTCGTCGCTTCTCGCTCCAAAAGCACTGGTATCCCTTCGATGTGCAATCGTTGATTTACATGTACACTGCTTGTTCTTTCACTGTATCTTTTGTACAGCATCTCTCTGTTTCCGAACTCATTTTGCAAACTCCAATGTTCCTTGTATATATGTTGGACTCAGTAGAGCGTCCAGCCCCTATATAGAGTCCATTGGTCCAAAATCCACTGTACAGAGTCCAAACTTGGAATCAACTGTGAGCTCAAAGTTTAGATGGACATCACTCCCTGTATAGAGTCCAGCCAATTGGCTTCACCCCTATATAGAGTCCATTGGTCCAAAATCAACTGTATGGAGTCCAAACTTTGAAATCAACTATAAGGAGTCTTTATGTGGACAACACTCGCTGTATAAAGTCCAGCCAATTAGGCATCCCCTATCCAGAGTTCGAAATTAGACAAAGGATCTGCTGTAAGCAGTGAATATTAACCAGAAAACGGCCTCTCCCTTTAATCCTTTACATCATTCACTTCTCAAGATAAATAATAAGTATTGAGGCGCCACTGCAGCCACTTCATTACATGAAAAACCCTACAAACACCATCCTCAAATCAAGTGGTCTTTTCGCAGACGCTGCAAATTACAATATCTCAATCATGTAGTGTTGTCAAATTATTTGTGCACGCACACACACACATGCACATACCCACACAACGCCAAGAAAATACCTAGAAAAAAACCAAGAATCGAAAGAGAATAATGGAGAGCCAAGGATTAATTATTTGTTTTCAAATTATTGTGCACGCGCACACACACAAACACACACACACACACACACACACAAACTTATACAACGCCAGGAAAACACCAAGAAAAGAGTAGAGACACAATAAACACGCAACTCCAACAGCCATGCAAACGTCCACCCATTTACACGTAAAGTCAAGAGGGATAACAAATAATTATACGAAACGAATGCATACGTGGGCGAATGCGCGCACGTTTACATACGTGTAGTAGCGTAAGAGAGTAACATAGTGCAGTAGTCAGCATAATACTAGGACATGCTGAGAGTGCAATAGCAAGCTTCACCATTGCTCATGGCCATTGCTCATGGCCATGCAAATGTTCAGCAGCACTCAGTTCCGCAATCTTCTGAAGATCAGCACACCTGCAACAAATAGATAGCACAAGGATACGCGTATTACCGTAATGATGCATAGAAGCACACAACTACCAAGTTCTCAACGAATGTAATGCTCAATGAAAATCCATCCACTCAAAGACCTGTGAACAGGTGACGGTGGGAACAATAATCTATTAGCAATACGAGGAATACTGTAAGACATGTATAATATTACGAGGAAGCAAATCTAACGTTTTAACGGATGACATTTCTTCGTTATAATAAGATCCGTTGAGGCCGTACTGATTCATATTATGCTATGTGTGGATATGGCAGAATACTGCAAGATCGTTAACATTATCTTCTCGTTAACCTATGAATTTTGGACAATCGTTAAATTTGCGACTCGTTATAATAACATGTCTTACAGTAAGATCGTTTGTGCACACTCAAGATGCACAGACACACCACCATACATGTAGTGTACACAGTGTTTCACTTCACTGCAACTAAATTGAAATGAGATGATTTGAACAATCTGTACAGCGTTGCCGTCAGTCAGTCTTCCCCAAGATGGAAATGCAATGATTTGTTGTCACGAGGCAGTTTCACTGACACAATGTCATGTTTGTGACATCAAAACGGTTACTTCATGGAATACGAGTACAGTCGTCCCTCTCTAATCCGGCACTTTATAATCCAGCACCCTCGATAAACCAGCACAATTTTCAGTAGCCAAAATGTCCTCTTCATGCACATTGCAGCAGTAAATCAGATTTGTTAATCCAGCACCCTCCTTAATCCAGCAGATTTTCGTCGCACAAATGGTGCCGGATTATAGAGGGACCACTGTACATGTATTAGCTTGAGAAGCTTTTTCTTGTCATCGGCATACGAGAAATCCTCCTCCTACTACTACTACTACTACTACTACTACTACTACTAGTACACTGGCACTGCGTTTGTGGATCCCATTGTATTTGACATCATACTAGAGCCTAGTACTAGTAGTAGAGGAAGAGTGTCGTGGAGTTCACATAATTATCACAGGGATAAAAATACATTTCTCATGAAATAAAATAATAATTGATGATAGCTAGACGATCATATACGATTGATGCAAAGTCCTTGCAGTCCTTGAGGACTATTACGAAGTGGTTGATTAATTTTAGGGCATTCATTCAAGCAACATCAAACAAACGCGATACGATCCTTGAAAATGGAAAAAAATTCAAGCATAACGACAAAACAGCAAACCAATCGAAACGAGTAAAAGCTTCCTTACCTCAGTCATCGTCCTGCCATGTAGTTGGACAGCCTTTTGACACGGTGGTACAGGCAGCTCTTGTCCAGTCAAACAGGGTATCCTTGTGGCGTCGAACGAAAGAGAGTGTCAGTGTATCTGACTCGTCAGATTGGAACTGTGCTGAACTTTTCTCGTTCTCCGCTTTCTGCTTTCATCCCTCGCTCTGATGAAACCGTTCAAACGCCTTACTGGCAGCAATGGCCAGCCAAACAGGGGATCCTTGTGGCGTCGAACGAAAGAGAGTGTCAGTGTACCTGACTCGTCAGATTTGAACTGTGCGGAACTTTTCTCGTTCTGCAATTTCTGCTTTCATCCCGCGCACTGATGAAACGTCTTCAGAGAACCACAAGACGCTTTCCAGATTTGATTTTGAACGTCTCCTTATCCTCCTTGGTTACCTCGAGACAGATTACTGTCAGCAACTGCACAGCAGAACTGGGAGCCATGGCTGAAGTGAAGAAAGGAATGCGCTGCCACGAGGCAAGCAAAACTGAAAAGGTGTTTCAAGTGTTCTCTTCAATTTCGGACACAACACACAGGACGGCGTGACTGGATAAACTGGACTCCTGGACCGTGAATAGGGGACTTGTAGAAAAAGTGTACTCCTTATAGGGGATTGCGCGGCAGGATGAAGCTGATCAAAACTGAGTGGACTCCTGGACTCTGTATAGTGGGTTTTGGACCAATGGACTCTATATAGGGTGCTGGACATCATATAGTGCATGGACTCTATACTGAGTCCTACATATACACAAAATTAATAGGAGATCCCCCCGATAGGCGTCAGCCTTTGGGTAATCCTGAAATAAAGATTACAGTAGGTATCGGTTATAGCGTGGGTGTTTGAAAAACAACATTTGATTCTTATTGCCGATATTTCTTACACACGATAAATCACGTGTGACATATCATATGCACGTGTGACATACAGGTATCATAAAATATAATATTATGCGCGCACGTTTGGCATGTGGACACGTACAATCATGTAGGTCTACACATGATACACACGGATCAGCCTCGCGGTCGTGCTAGGCGACTGCGGAGCAGCAGATACGAGAGAAGTCGGAAGAAAGAGTCCGACTGGACAGAAAAAGTGATTCTCCGATGCTCAGTTGGACATAACTCTCTTTTTGTGTTGAATATTATTGTATTGAGTATGCACAGAGCACAGATGTTATTACTACAGGCGATACACTTTGCACTAATCTGGCATATTTTGCTACACAAAATCCATTCTAAGTGTCGATATATTCTACTATGCGATAATACTGCTTGTAAGAATAAATATACACATAAAATATGTGTTATGATTATGAAAAAATGAGTGTTCATTCTTGTAGGCAGTATATTCTTGTATACGACCACACTATAACCGATACGCACTGTATTAATTAAAGGTGTCGCTTAAAGGCTGTCGGGAAGGTCCAGGAAGACAGTTCTTTTCCGTATTTCCTGGGGCGATAAGCCGCCCAGGGCTTATGATAGCAATAGTGAGGTTTTGCATTCCGAATTTCGGTACAGCGTTCTTCGGTCATTTGTCGAACATCAAAATGTCGAATTTTCGCACCAACGTTTGTTTTGCAAGTCGAAAATGATGTGTTTTCATTTCGTGAGCCCCAGCATCAGCAACGTCCTGTCCCGTGCTCCTTTTCTTGCTGATTCCAACGAACTTTGATCGCCCAAAGAGTCGAGGGCCAAACCTGCCTCCTCAGCCGTCTCAGAAAAACCAACTCCATGGGCAAGTCAAATTTTATGCGTGTCGCCATAGTCTTTTCAGCCACACAGATGACGGTGAGGACACCCCAAGCGAAAGAGAGTAGACAGGCAGTGGAGAGGAGGAATCAGAGGTAGCTGACGATGCTACATTGTACATGTATGTCGCCAAAGACGCCTGCCAAGCGATGCCGAGATAAGAAACCTCTTTGAATAAATCACGCGCTAGCGCTCTTCTACAAGAAAATGCATCCGAAAAATATTTTCGGCAAAGTGAGCTTTTTCCGAACACGCCGAATCTTCGTGTGCATTTTCGACCTCGCTCCCGCGTGCCGAATCTTTTTGCCGAATTTCGGAATGCAAAACCTCACTAATATCAAGAGTAGATAAACGTTTATCAAGAGTAGATAAACGTTTATCTACTCTTGCTAATAGTAAATATTAAGTAATATCGATCTGCTTCTTCTTGCTCCTTCTCGTTCGACTGCTCTTCATTCATCTCACCCTCAAAAAGTCAAATCCATCTTTACTTCTTCCTCTGCTTCCTCCTCATCCGGCGAACTCCAAGCTGGTGCGCGTGACCTGGTGACCCCGCGTGCGCATTGCGAAACTGCGTGTGAAAATCACAGTACGCGTACGCACGACATCATGCGTACCGATACTCCAGTAGTATAGTACTGTCCACGCGCGATCCGGCAAAAATAAAAAGGGTAATTTTAAAATTTATAGCTCGGCATTGTCAGCAATCAAATTATTCGTTCTCTTTTTTTGTTGGTTGTTGAGTGACGAATGGCGATGAAGGTTCTGTGCTTGGTCCTTGCTTTCGCAGCTGCGGCTCATGCCGTCAGCTTGGAAGACGATCAGGAATGGATTGGTTTCAAAACTGCCTTCGGCAAATCCTACTCCAGCCGTCAAGAAGAGCTTCTCCGTCGTAATGTGTTCCGTAAGAATCAAGAACTCATCCAGGAAACGAACCAGAAGAAACTCGGATTCACTGTTGCCATGAATCAGTTTGCTGATCTGACCAAGGACGATTTCGCTCGCTCCGGCCTGGCACAGCCTGAGGCTACCAACTACAAGCGCACTGGTGGAGCGTTCCTGTTCCCTGAGAATGAGGATCCTGCAAATCTCCCTACTGAAGTTGATTGGCGTAAGCACGGTTATGTCACCGCGGCCAAGGACCAGAAATTGAGAAAGTGCGGCTCCTGTTGGGCTTTCGCTGCTACTGGCGCCCTCGAGGGTCAGCACTTCCGAAAAACTGGGAAGCTGGTTTCTCTGAGTGAGCAGAACTTGGTGGACTGCGCCTCAGCTGAGGGTGACGCTGGCTGTCGTGGCGGCCTGCCCAGCTACGCTTTCACCTACATAGCCATCAACGGCGGAATCATGTCCGAGGCTGACTATCCGTACAAGGCCGTGAAGGGTAACTGCTCCTACAACCGCAACCGTGCCGTGGCGCACGATATCGGCTGGGTCCGTTTACCAGCAATGAACGAGACCACTCTCAAACAGGCTGTCGCTACGATCGGGCCTGTTGCTGTTGCCATCGATGCCAACGACCCTCTGTTTTGGAGCTACAAGAGTGGAATTTTCAACAGTACATCCTGCGGGAGCGGTCGCCAGTATCTTACTCACGGTGTACTTGTCGTGGGTTATGGCACGCAGGATGGCAAGGACTACTGGCTCGTCAAGAACTCCGTCGGTACGTCGTATGGACAGGACGGTTATATCAAGATGACGCGTAACGCCGACAACCAGTGCGGAATCGCCACGCTGCCGTCATACCCGGTTGTTTAACCACTGCTGCATTCACAACACCTGCATTTAGCTGAGAAACTGATCGGATTCATCAACTTCTCTCGCTGACATTTTCTTCTGCGCATTTGTAGAATTGCTGTTGTAAACTTTATTTATTTTGTTAGGTATATTTTAATTGGGTATCATAATGTCAGTTGCTTCGAACAAGAAGATGATGAAGACCTTGAAAAACTGCTGGAGACTGTTTGCATGATTTTCCCGCCATAACTAGGGTGTTGAGCCCCCGGGGCAAGTCAAGTACATTGTACTATAGGCGACAAGCCTCTGGGTCATCCTAATAAAGACATTATTATTACAACCGTACACACTGTGACACTATGATACCAGCTCTGCATAAAAGTTCATGAACTTTGTAAAGTCATACTCGCATAAATCGTAAATCTGTCCCCCTGGAAAATCGCGGGAAAATTCAGAAATTGCGGGCGAAAAAGAGTGGAAAATGTGGGCCAGACATGCATGATGGTAAATGTGCGGAAACGTTAAACTGCAGTATCTTACAACGATATGGACCACAAAAACGTGAATGGAGGATCAAGCAAGGAATTTCGAAGCGCAAAGGAGTTGTATGCATATTCCATTAGTCCTATTGGTATTGTTGCTAACGGCTTTTGTTGACGTCACTTCTGTCATTTCATTGTATCGTATTATATTACTCTTCCGACATCAATCCTGAATGGCATAAGCGAAAATGGCACCCCCGCCACCTACGCGGACATGCTTTAAATAATAATAATAATAATAATAATAATAATAATAAAGAACAGTGCGATGTCAAAGTTTGGCCCTGGGGACAAAAGTTCACAGCCACGCGCTTTCCGTACAACAAGAGTACACGTAGCAGCGCACAGAACAAGACAGTGAGAGTGGGCCATGGCATGGGCTCACGAATTAACTGAAAATTGAGGCAAAATGAAGAAAACTGCACGTTTTCCACGGAAAATGCTAGATTCGCGGACACGCACACGAAAATCGCGGAATGTGTTACGGCCGTTGATGGGGACCGGTAAATGTACATGTACTACAAATACTGAAGTAGAAACATAGCGTGGGCTGTACCTGCCAAGCATGGGCCAACTTGCCCCCCCCCCCCCATAAGAAAAAAGGTTACGGCCATCTTTGATGCATACCTGGTACCAAGCAGGGAGTCGTAAAATACCGGTATTTTACGACTCCCTGGTACCAAGAGTACATAACCAGTTGTACCAAGAGTACATAACCCCCCAGAGTGTGCAACGCTGATCCAGCTCTGCATAGGGTCTTGGTCGAGCGGAACCGGATCTTTGCGTCATAATACCGTACACATCTGAGGGGAACCCGGGGAGTCGCGGGTACTCTCGGATCAAAAACAATGGTGCCCTGCCTCGAGACCGGCCTTGCGCTGGTGTGGAGTGTACGCATGACATCAGAAGATCCGATTCCGCTCGACCAAGACCCTATGCAGAGCTGGATCGGCGTTGCACACTCTGGGGGGTATGTACTCTTGCTTATACACTCTTGCTTGTACCTGCCATTGAATGTTCTTGTGTCCGTCACCGTGTTCATTTGTAATTTCTATTCTGAATTCCCCAAAGGCTTCTCAGTGTGGGCCGATACACAATCATGTAGTCTTACATGCAGCTTAGTGCAGGAAATAGTCTGACCTGCTGTCTTTTGCTGGTAGGCAGGGACAAGCAATAATTTCGCGCTTGCATGGGCCACAGTACAACATCGCAGCAACACGGCCCAAGTGAACAGAAGGTAAGGAAGTAAGGGCGCCCGTACACACGCATACGCACGCAGATGGGTGCAGACTCGCACGCAGATGCACATACAGACCCGCAAAGAAGCATGTGGAAAGGGAAACTTGACATCCGGACCGGGTGCCACACCCCCCCCCCCCAACCAACGCGCACACATGCACACACAAACACACGTACAGAGACAAACCCGGACACGAAAACGCCCACACGCACGGGCACAGTGACAAACGGATGCACACACACGCACGCACGCGTGCGAGCGCACACACATACACACACACACTCGGACACAAGCATACATGCAAACACACGCATACATGTCGTGGAACAAGGGAGTGCATGACCACGGACGCGCAGACAATGGGGCACCCGTACACCCAAGGAGGCAGGTCTACGCGCCCACATGCCGCTCCACTCTGACCAGCACAGGACACGCACTTCCCCACACTCAACTGAACACATTGCCATTCATGCTATCATCTTTTATTATCAACAAGGTCGTGCATTGTCTTCCCCACCGCACGACTACGCCGAGCTGGACATGTACAGAGGCACAAAAGACAACAGGATTTGTTTCAGGATCAAATGGTGCTTCACAAACATTCCGCCATTGTCAACTATTAGTTCTACTCCATGGCCCGCACCCTTGTCGAAGTTCACAAGCAGCCGGTACGGGTATTGGTGAAGGTGTCTTGTACCACACCCTTCAACGACCCCACTGTGCACACACAGATGTGGATTACTTAACGCAGAAGCCATGACCAGGGTGCTTCTCCAACTAGCGCCTCACCTCTCCACTTCACGGGCACGTCCACGACCCCGTCCCCGACCCCTTGGCAGCCGCCCAGTGAAAACATTCCTGATGTTTATTCTGCAGATGAACACAGAGCATAGGACATACAAGCACAACATTGCAAACATGATATTTGCCTAAGGATTGCAGTTTGCGGACCAGGCCACGTAACATGAGAATGAGGCCTCATGTGGTACAAGTTGCACCACAAGCTACTGCAGGCACTGTCAAAAGTGAAATTTCCCGAGTACCCGGTCTTGGACATCGGGAGGCACCATTTCAAACTGTTATCAGAAATTTCGCATTTACCACACGGATACGGCATGTGGTCCACGTTCCTACTCTTCGACATGCAGGATTGTATAGTGTGAGTGTCAGTGCACATCCACTACTGCCACTGCCACCACAGGTGGCACACGGCACATCACTCACATCTGGCCGTGGTATGAATGTGTGGGCGAAAACATAGGCCCTCCTGCCCCCCGCCGCCGTCTCCTTCTCCCCGCACGACCATGCTGGTGCTGGGGCTGGTGTACTTCGTGCCGCTGTGGCTGGTGCAATGCACCGACGTGCTCCTGCAGGAGCAGGTTACCTTCTTCCAACTGCTGCTGCTGCTGCTCTTTCTGGCGCCGCTCCTGCTGCCGCCGCTCTTCTCCCTCCTGCCACTGCCATTTTGCTTCCAAGGCTTGCTGCTGGCGCTGTTGTGCCTGCCGCTGCTGTTTTTCCGATTCCGCCCGCCCCTGCGACTCGCGCCACAGCTGCTGTGCCTCTTCCGCTCGATGTTGTTCTTGCTTCCGCCGCTTCTCCTCCTCCTCCTCCTCCTGCTGCTGCCGCTGCTCGTGCTGAGCCTGGTAGGGGGGGGGGGGGCAAAGATTGGCGGAGGTGTTCCTGCGGCTTCGCTCTTGTCTAGTGAACAGTCAAACAGCCGCTCCGCGTCAGCGGCCGACATGTCCAGGGCCACCCAATTGCCGTTTCCGTGTCTGTAGATCAGCAAGCACAAGAAACCAGGACACATTCAATTAGCAACGGATCACATGGGATGTTGAGAGGATTCCCACCAACCACCCATCCTCACTACTGCAGCAGGAGGACAAAGTGCATTACCTCAGCATCAACCAGCAAGTCGCTGGGAGCGAGAATAGTGGTCTCTGGTTGTTGTACTACAACCGAGACCACGCGCACATTTCAAGTAATGACACACAGCGTCATTCATTCATAGTATGCAAGACATGCATTCGTATGGTCAACAATACTCTCGTTCAACGACACAATACTGTCTTTCGCACTCCGCACGTTACCATGGCGGCACACCCGTCGGGCCGAGCTGTGTAGTGACCACCCGTGAGCCCACCATGGTGATTCACACTTGCAACAAGAGACAGATTTCTATCACCAATATCAAACGAGGTGGGCAAAAGGAAGCGCGCAGCCCCTCGTCCTCCCGCACACCTCGGAATATTTCCATGCAAACACCTGTATGGTCAGCACGGGCCATAGTGGAGTGCGACATAATGTCGTGATTTTCACCACATGCAGAACATTCATGGCGCGTGGTGTGCGACGGACATCTGTACGCATCTTCGCTTGTATGGCCATTGAGAAGGATGTTGTCATGCAGGCGCGTAGCCAGAGTGGATACTTTGCAGTCAGGTATCGAGACGTGGTTGACCAGGACATGTGGAAATGCACTGTACTACTACCAGTTCATGCATTATAATATACTGTCAGTCTACTGGCACTGACTTCACGCGTCGAGTCTACTGTTCACTGAAGAAGAGTTCGCAGGATCTACATGTAGGACATCTAGATCTAGTCTATGTACATTAATTTTGCGAGGCTCGAGGATAGGCTTGTCCTTCTTTGAACCGCTGTTCGCATTCGCTGTGTGAACCACGCTGCAACAGAACTGCACAGCACCGGTGCAGTGCGGTGTCGAAATCGAAGTCGGAAAGTCACAGTCTTTTTGTTTCGAAAGCTTTCAGTTTGGTTCCATTTTCTTTGTATTCTTCGCCACCAATTTCCAAGTTCTGTCAGTGCGGCAGGTACGTATAAGGGTGAAGCGCTTTCTTAAACGAAAATTGGAGATTTATTTTCAGCGACTTCTCCCAAGCATCATGATAGCGGTTGTTCAGACAACTCTTCGAGCGCTGACGCTGTGTCGGTGCCCGATTTTGTCGACTCTGGCGGTGAATTCGCTTCAGGGCAGCCCGAAAGTGTGAACTCCCCGAGAATCTCCGACTCTCAATATCAGTCTGGAGCGCTGGGGAAGTTGTTGTCACCCGAGGATGGTCCCGGTTGTCTTGTAGAAGGTGATTCTCCGGAACTTGCAGCGCGACCTGAAGCCCATACTCTTCTTCAGTATAACCAAGAGTACATGACACACAGAGTGTGCAGCTCTGATGGATTCCGTCGCTATTCCCATGTGAACACTGTTTCATTAGGTAAAGGCTGGATTTATTTCCTTTTTGTCATTAGGCCACACGTTTTTATTTCTATGTTTCTCGTCACCCGAAAATCTAAAATCGTGTGCGAGAGGTGGAAAAAATAAAAAATTACTGAAAAATATATATATGTTTTACTAGACCTTTGGTCATACTAAAATCGACCAACACACCGTGTAAAATAGCATTCAAAGTTAGTTAGCAACTACAGTAAATAGTGGATATAACGTGCCCCTTTGATTTTTGATAATTTATCACTATATCCGGTGCATCACTATAGCCGATTTGCATGTATGACTGACACATGGCACATGACTATGCATGAAATGATGCGTACACGCTGGAAAATGCATGAAAAGCAGCCACGTGTACATGTGGCTGCTTACAGCATACAGGGAAGAATTTTCTCTCAATCACGTCTGCTGCCAGATGCATCCAGGCAACACTGGATCAGTTTTGGAAGAAATCAACTAAATTTGAAGAACAATTGTTTTGTGATCATCACTCTTGATCAGTATATACAATATTTTCCTGTGCATTTGATATGGTTTGCTTCCTGAAGCCCATCACAATAAGCGATATATCGGTATAACCGATAATAGTGTGTATAGTGATATTTTAGCTGTATTTTTTTGTGATTTGATTTTGATTTTGGCGAGTTCGATCATTATAGCCGGTATATCGTTACACCCGGTCACTTTATAAACCATACTCACTGTAGTAGTACGTGGTAGGAGCTTCTGTCACAATCTGTGCAAGTGCAGCTAGCTTGCGCAACAAAAACTGCCGACCTCGCATCATGTCACTGGGCGCTTTCGATAACACGTTTACACAATTCTGGAACTGTTTTTTTAAATTCTGGAATGACCAGAATGAGCGGATTCCGGCCTTGTAAACGAACGACTGGAATTCACAACGCATTTTATTCATGTCATGTCAAACAAAATTGATGAATCGTAAAAAGAGATCACGTACACCCTCGCGCGCACGTGGACCCAGCATCGCGCACACGCCGGCCAGGGAGGCTCTTCGCGCGCTTGAGTCATGACCAGACCGGTAACACACCGACTGTGCAATTCTGGCGCCAGAATTAGAGAAATTCTGCCCTCTCTTCAGAATTGACGGATTCAACGGAATTGGATAAAATCAATTCTAACGACGGAATTTGTCACTTTTTGTGTAATCGAACTGTGCATTAGGTAGGCACCGGCGGATTATGCCGGCATAATTATTAGCATAATTTGGTGGTTGAAAATTTGGAGCATAATTTGGCATCCTTTCGGAGGTAGGAGCATAACTACATGGTTGTACCACTGTTCTAGTATGTAGGCTACAGAATTGTGTACACTGCACCTGATCAGTGCTGGTGGTCTGCATGGCAAAGGGTTCGGAGGTCATGCAGGTAGTGTTCAATGAAAAGCAGGGTAGAAATCATGGCCGAATACATTAGTGTATGTTCGAACTCGTCTTCTTCAAAGTTCTTTCTCACACTGATATACATTGTACATGTAGTACATCACGTAGCAGAAGATGCGAGTGAATCAGCCTTTATCAAGTGTCCCGGGGCGGACGAGATAGTGACGGGTAGTTCACAAAACTTCGCGTACATGTACATTAGTCATTATGCATGTTACGAAGTCATGACCTCTGGATTTTAGCAGCCATGACTGTGCCGGCTATGGATATTGCTCTAGATAATTTAAAAAAAGTCGAGGTATAGTAGAGTTCGGTCATGATGGAAGGAGAGGTGGAGCTACGGGGGAGATGAGCTGATTATTCGAAGGGTGAGGGTGACATCGGTTGGACGAGTATGACGATTGCGAAGACAGTTGAACGTGATAATTTGCAAAGGTAACTCAAACTAATATTATTATTGGCAATGAAAAAATCTTTTTACAAAAGAAGTCAACTAATGAATGAAAGAAGTATAAAATGTTTTCTCTTTTCCATCATTAAATTTTGATCTCTAGCATGAATGGACACCTTGGTATGGGGATACTCATGTATTTTGTTGTACTTATGGCCATAGTGGTGGCCTGCGGAAGCGAAGGCTAGTTTGTGTGTTTCTGAACATTCAAGCGATGCCAACGCGAATCCCGCGAATTATTATTATTATTATTATGGCCACTTGCAAGTACGAAAAGGCACAATTTTCCGACCTTTTAGGCTCCATAACTGGACCATAAGTACAACAAAGTGGATATGTATCCCCGCGTGCCAAAGCATAATATGAGGGTTTTGTGAGCATAATGCGAGAATCCATGAAAGCAGAATTCCATGATTTCGCGAGCATAATCCGCCGGTGCCTACTGTGCATCAACAATAACTAATTCTAGAATTGACCGAAATGCGTGTAATCGAAAGCGCCCACTGCGTCGCACAGGCCAGGGTGCACATGTGCATGCCTGTGCTGGTGGTCTCCACAGTGCAGCACATGTTTTCTTCTTCCAGACTCCTGAATCGTATACGCGCGCGGGGGGGGGGGGGGGGGGGGGGGGGCGAGAAACGTAGAAATAAATAAAAAACATGCAGCCTTATACATGTATTTCCTGGTGGAATTGGCTGTATCTGGACTCAACCAAAACTGTACTCACTACTCATACTGCACAATTCAATGGTATAGATTCTATGTACAGCATGTACACATGATTGTAATAATTTATGCCGTTATTGGTATACAACGAAGAACTAATACAGCTGATGATCACAATTTACTATGAGCAGCAATTACACATACATATCTGAGCCGCACCATGACAAAAGGGTGCTTATGGCAACAGTTTCACAAGCTGAGTTATGGACACAGCACAATGGCTGAATTCTCACTGCTTCTGTTGCAAACAAACGCATTCAAAAAAGCTTGATAAATCGCAACGAAACTGATCAAATTCAAAAAGAAAATGTGCACTCTCAATATTGCATACTCAACTTTTAAACGAGTTTTTCGCAGTTTGATGTCGCGTGCCATAAGCACCCTTTGTCGTGTCGCGGCTCATTTATGTTAAAAAAAAGAGAGGACCAGAAGTTTACACAAGTATCCGTTTTGTCCAACACTAACGATTCTAAACAGGATAATGGTGAGTAAAAATGTGCAACAATTAGCAGAAAACTGACTGATGTGATACTGACATTCAACGATCTGATGCTTAGCTGCATCACGTCTGGAATGCACAAACCAACAGCCTTCCAACTTGGAAGGTTCTAAGTTATGAAATAACGTGAGAAAGGGGAAGGTGAGCGCACTTCAGATTTCACTCGCAGCGCACTCCAGACTTCCAGGTCGTTGAATGTCAGTGTCACATCAGTCACTTTTGTTCTAATTGTTGCATATTTTGACTCGCCATTATCCTGCTTAAAGTCGTTAGTGTTGGACAAAACGGATAACTTGTAAACTTATGGTCCTCTCATTAAAAAAAAAAAAATTATCCTTGGCTCTCCATCCGAGTATACCATATTCACATGTACATGACATTGTACAATGTATGTATACATGTACGTGGGTATTTATCCTTTCATGGTACATGTATCTCCATTTTTTCACGTCTACATGACTTTATCTTGCCCGTAAAAGAGGCCGCTACCCCCGAAAAAAGAGAAAAAAACGTTAGAAAGGGAAAAAAATAAAAAATACACGTACGTGGGTATTGTACATACAGTAAAACCTGTAACTAAAGACCACCGTGACTCGCGACCAGCCTGGTACTACAGTAAAACCTGTAACTAAAGACCACCGTGACTCGCGACCAGCCTGGTACTACAGTAAAACCTGTAACTAAAGACCACCGTGACTAGCGACCAGCCTGGTACTACAGTAAAACCTGTAACTAAAGACCACCGTGACTAGCGACCAGCCTGGTACTACAGTAAAACCTGTAACTAAAGACCACCGTGACTCGCGACCAGCCTGGTACTACAGTAAAACCTGTAACTAAAGACCACCGTGACTAGCGACCAGCCTGGTACTACAGTAAAACCTGTAACTAAAGACCACCGTGACTCGCGACCAGCCTGGTACTACAGTAAAACCTGTAACTAAAGACCACCGTGACTCGCGACCAGCCTGGTACTACAGTAAAACCTGTAACTAAAGACCACCGTGACTAGCGACCAGCCTGGTACTACAGTAAAACCTGTAACTAAAGACCACCGTGACTCGCGACCAGCCTGGTACTACAGTAAAACCTGTAACTAAAGACCACCGTGACTCGCGACCAGCCTGGTACTACAGTAAAACCTGTAACTAAAGACCACCGTGACTAGCGACCAGCCTGGTACTACAGTAAAACCTGTAACTAAAGACCACCGTGACTCGCGACCAGCCTGGTACTACAGTAAAACCTGTAACTAAAGACCACCGTGACTAGCGACCAGCCTGGTACTACAGTAAAACCTGTAACTAAAGACCACCGTGACTCGCGACCAGCCTGGTACTACAGTAAAACCTGTAACTAAAGACCACCGTGACTCGCGACCAGCCTGGTACTACAGTAAAACCTGTAACTAAAGACCACCGTGACTAGCGACCAGCCTGGTACTACAGTAAAACCTGTAACTAAAGACCACCGTGACTAGCGACCAGCCTGGTACTACAGTAAAACCTGTAACTAAAGACCACCGTGACTAGCGACCAGCCTGGTACTACAGTAAAACCTGTAACTAAAGACCACCGTGACTCGCGACCAGCCTGGTATTACAGTAAAACCTGTAACTAAAGACCACCGTGACTAGCGACCAGCCTGGTACTACAGTAAAACCTGTAACTAAAGACCACCGTGACTCGCGACCAGCCTGGTACTACAGTAAAACCTGTAACTAAAGACCACCGTGACTAGCGACCAGCCTGGTACTACAGTAAAACCTGTAACTAAAGACCACCGTGACTCGCGACCAGCCTGGTACTACAGTAAAACCTGTAACTAAAGACCACCGTGACTAGCGACCAGCCTGGTACTACAGTAAAACCTGTAACTAAAGACCACCGTGACTCGCGACCAGCCTGGTACTACAGTAAAACCTGTAACTAAAGACCACCGTGACTAGCGACCAGCCTGGTACTACAGTAAAACCTGTAACTAAAGACCACCGTGACTCGCGACCAGCCTGGTACTACAGTAAAACCTGTAACTAAAGACCACCGTGACTAGCGACCAGCCTGGTACTACAGTAAAACCTGTAACTAAAGACCACCGTGACTAGCGACCAGCCTGGTACTACAGTAAAACCTGTAACTAAAGACCACCGTGACTAGCGACCAGCCTGGTACTACAGACCACTTCGCCTGGCACGGACGGTCTCACATTCATATAATAATTATGGTTGTGCGATGCAAACCTCTAACTAAAGACCACCTGCCACTAAAGACCGCTTTCTTTGGCCCCACGGGGTGGTCGTTAGTAACAGGTTTCACTGTACGAGAAAATGATAAATCCCTCTGCGGCACACTACATGAACTCATTCACTGCATATCCAAGGCGACAAGAATAGACTTTGACTGAATTCAGTGCTGCATGAGTCTACGGTGAAGAGTATGTTTGAGAAGAGTATATTATTATAATTATGGAGCTACGGACCACTTCCTTGCCTAGATTGACATCCTGATGCATGTATTGTACGAAGTAGACATTTGTACCCTCTAATCATAAAAATAATGTAATCTGTATTTACAATGTTCTTTCTGGCAGTTCACTTCCGCGACGGATCCTTCGAATTTGAAGTTCTCCCAATCCTGTCAAAATATTACAATAATTATTCCAAATGATTTCTAGCCAAGCGAGCGGCCAGTAGTCTTGATGTCAAACACTGCTAGCTGTTCAAGTGCTGCTACAGCTACAGGCACAGAACTACAGTTGTGGCAAGTGAAATCCGACACTTGGCATAAGGGACTGCACCGTGCATCCTGCAGCCTCTGCAGCCCTGCATACGTACAGTACATGTGTTGCATACAACTTTATCTGTCTGATGACAGAATTCGTACTCATCACAGTCAAGGTTCAAAAGGTGCATGGCTGCATGCTGGCAAAAATGACTGGGAATTGGATACCAATACTCCTTATGTGTACTATGTTTGAGAACTGTGTGTATCTAAGCTGTGACCTTTCGACCTGTTTGGGATGCATACGGCTCTATAGTACAAATTAGGTGCAGTGCATTACATCATTGATGTCCATTTGAGGCGCTGTCCCCTATGGCAAGTGTCGGATTTCACTTGCCACAACTGTACTTGTAAATCCTTGACTAGAAACAGAAAAATTATGGTAATCATTTTGTTGCAATATTTTTAAGTGATTCAAGTGCATCCTCACGGAATTGCACTCATGAAGCACTGCAGAAGGATCACTTGCAGTATGTCCAACAAATCACACTGTGCAGTATGTCCAACAAATCACACTGACAGTCTGTGTAGTATTCATTCTTACCTTTACAGGTAATAGCTAGCTGCCCTCATGTCACAAATATTTCTCCCGCCGGACGATATTTCCTGGTACTGTTTGCGTTTGCAACGCCACAGCACTCTCGATCATATCAGGACGATGCGAAAACAACAGTGCACTTCAAGCAGAGTGCATTTGTTCATGAAGTGGGTCGCAGCCTAAATTCGATAGTTGCCTGCTCCGAGCTCAACAGTTCCCCAAACTACAAAAACAATCACTGGGCATGGGTGGGCTACACTTCTCTCAGCTTCTGATGACTGTGTAGTGACTTGAGGACTCTCACCTCCCGTGGATTGAACAGGCTACTGAAGAACATGTTCTTGACAGCCGTCGACTGCTAACTTTCCCACCGGCAGAATTTTCTACGAGCGACAGTTTTCCAACCATAGCTAGCTTGTCCTTGGTGCCCCGCTTCTTGACGAAGTGCAAGGGGCCGGGGATAACTGAAGCTATTGTTACTCGAGCACACGCCTCCAGCACTTGGGCACAGCACAAAAAAGTGTCCAAAAGGGAGAAGGATAACTGCAAAGCATAGTAATAATCTGAAAAGAACATTCCACAAGGCAAAAAGTGACGAAGCATTCTCAAACCGGATACCACGGCCCCTATGGCCACGGCGGAAAACAAAATTTGTTTAAGGTAGCAGTACTGGAATATGCCATTCGCAAATACACACAACTAAAATCGGGTATTACTTCGGTGTCTGTGAATCTTTTGCCACGAAATTTTGAGCACAGATTCATGATTCACGCCATCACCTAATAAAAGTACTACCTTGAACTTATTTACTTTGCATCGTCCCAAAAGTTCACTGCACTGGAGAGTAAAAAAATGCCGTCATCTCAGATTTTTGGTACATGCTAGCAGCAACATAATATCAGCTGAAGTGTTAAAATTGCATCACAAGCAACAGTCTACAACAGTAGCAGATGCTGAATAGAACAAATTGGAGATAGGACACAAATAGCACCACCCAGTCAACATCATCTGTGAAGATGCCCGTCACCGTCGAAAAAGATTATTACTACTGAGGCAGCTAACATCCGCCAAACAAAAAACTATGGCTTTATAAATATATTCAGCATCTGGGAAATTTTCCACTGATCAATCTACATATAAGGTTTATTGGGCTGTGATGAGCCAGTCTGGAGATAAAGTGTACCAAAGTTTGGTCGGAAGGCCAAAAAACACTAACTTTTGGCACTCTGAGAACCCTCCAGCAATGTATGTGACTACCTCTGCTTGCTGTGTCGTGTCAGCAAATCCCTTTCAAATGGCTCTTCTTCTCTTCCTGGCCGACTTTTGCTCCTCACTGGACCTTCTCCTCCTGTGATACTGCTTCCCTCCATCCAACTTGAGAAGACCAGAGCTGGAAAGTGAAACTTAGAGCAGCTCATCATTTCCAGCACAGCCGAAAACATTTCCATTGTTTGTACTCAGCATTAGAAATTTTTCCTGCTTGCCATCTGTTCTTCAAAGTTTCACATCCACTGCAGTGTTTTGATAGCACCTCCGCGTCCAGAACCTTTCCTGTCTCATCGGACAGCAGTTGGCATACCAAACATTGATGAGAACCCGCGCTTCATCCACGTTCCATCGGTGCTAACTGCAACATGCTCCGGGTGGGAATGCTGTTCTGTTGATCGCCGAACAAGAAGACGCTGGGCAGCATTCTTCATGCTGTCCCTAGCATCAGTTTCCACAGCAGTGTGTAGTGCATCGCTGTGCCCAGAATTGGACTTGCTAACAGGAGGCGGCATATCCAATATCCCACAGATACTGTTCAGACCTTCTCGTCCACTACCAATATGGCGCATGGCATGCACACTGCGGCGGCGGTTTATATCGTACAATTTAGCAAGTGGGTATCTTTCTGCCAGGGCTACACTGGTTGATGAGCAGCACGATTCGCACTGCAAACTAATTGTTGAGGCGAGACCATGACGAAAATTATCTTTGATAGTCAGGTTGCCCTCTTGATAATTACTACATACACAACATACACACGCTGACGTCACCAATTGCTGTTAGCTCTCCATGTGAACAATTCGATTTCCTGATGGAATATCATCGCAATCCTCTTCAGACTAATCTCCATCGTTATCACACGAGGCATCACTGGATAACAAATCACCTGGAAGATCAGAGTCATCTTCTACGCCCTCACCAGCTCCATCCGCCTGCGACTCGTGTTCGCTTTCACTCACCTCAATTGGCTCAAATAATTCAGGACTTGAAATGAGCTTGGACGTAGCTCTAGGAAATTTGCTTTTCCTTGGCCTGCTGAGCGACCTTCGTTTGTGTTCATCACCCATCTCCTGACCAAGTAGCACCAGCACAACAACTCAAGCGCAGAGTTCCAACGTCGATGACAAACGCTCGTGGCACTGGCAAACAGTTTGAGAACAAAGAATTTTTTTATCATTTTCAGTGAAAATACAATTGCGTGGGTTGAGCCTGCAGGCCAGCCAGGCCAGCTAGCGTGCTGCGTAGGCCAGGCAGGCGCTGCATGTGGCGATCGCGACGCTCAGCCCTGCTATACTGGTTTTAGCTGGACAGACAGTGTGAATCAGGCCGAGATTGGGAAGGATGCGCTGATATTGTACAGAAACCCTCTCGAAATAGATTGACAGCGATCAGCTGATCAGTGCAATTTTGAAATTTTGACGGGTATTTTCAGTTTTCGCAGGGCCATATCTCTGCTTTGGCTGGTTCGAATGCCAAAAAATTTCATTTGTAAAGCCTTTGGTATTCCTTCTTTCAGAAAAATCACACTTGAAGCAGTTCCCGTGAAATTGATATTTTGGCTAAATCTGACACCCGTTTTCCAGTACTGCTACCTTAATCACTTACTGATGACGTCACATGTGATCAGAGAGCAAGAGAAGCATAGCAGAAACTATAGACGCGTAGGGTTTTTGAAATATTTCAAATTTGGCTTACTTTTTGAGAATAGTTTTCGGAATATTGCTCAGGATCGCTCCACAATTACTCTCATAATTATAGTTTCTAAAGGATTGGATAACAGACGCCCAATTTGGAAAAAATTATGCACAAAGTGATCACAGATTTTATGTGGTATACAGGGCATAGCTTAAGGATTTCATTTAGCTCGGACAAATGTCCTTCCGTTTTGAAATGCCCGGACATTTTCCAGAACACATTTTCAGGGTGTTGCTTCTTTTTTTAGTAGTACTGAAATATATTCACAATAGGGAGGTTCCGGAGTACGATTTTTCGTGCCAAAATCCGTAGAGGCGCTACGGATTTTTTATACGTCGTTTTCGAGCAGTGAAAAGTTCTGGGGTACGGAACTTATGTGTTTGCCGTCATTGCCTAGGTTACGATCGCAAACACGTCACATTCCCGCGTTATGCCTTTTTATTTTGAAAATTTGTACCGAAATCAAAACTTCCCGCGGAAAATCCATGTTTCTCGTACCAAATTTGTACGCGAAAAATCTTTCTGCACCCGATGACGCAAAATCTCCATACGAAACATGGTTCGTGTGAAAGCCAGTCCACACGGATTCTCCGTGCCGAAAAATCGTATGGAGCACTCCTGGAAAAAATCCGTAGCGCCCACACGGATTTTGACACGGAAAATCGTACCCCGGAACCTCTCTAATAGAGAGGTTCTGCTACACGGAACTACGTACCAAACTCCGTGTCAACTGCAGTGAAGTTTGACACGGATTTTTCGTACGTTGCACCGGTTCTGCTGTACGTAGCATGCTCGAACCATGCACGAACACCCGGGGGTACCCCGCCACATGTACTCTGTACGCTCACTTTTCACACGGAGTCCGGTCCGTGTGAACCGCGCTTCACACGGAAAACGGTATGAAAAAATCCGTATCAAACTAAATCCCGTACCGCTGCGAAGTTTCCATACGTACTTTGGCACGTTATACCGTGTGGCAGAACCTCACTAATGACTCATTCTGTGGACGTATCTCACACATTACTATGTACAATTCGCCACTTTATTTTGTATTAGAAACTGAACTTCTTTTTTTTTACTGACGACAAAATGTATGTACAAGAAAGCGTTGCAGTCAAGAATTTTGCGAACGCGATATGCTCCTTGCAGAGAAGGACAAGGTAAGTCAGTTCGAATTTGCGTCGTGCAATAGCGGCAGCACCATCGTCCATCTTGCACAGTGCCTTCGCAATTGGAGCGAATTCCAGGGCATTTCGAGCGGGACACTCTTGCCTACGTAAAAGATTCATTGCTCGTTTATGCATCTCCGTTCCAGCATGATCCTTGAAGGCTGATATTCTCAGGTTCTTGAATCCGGTTATGAAAGCCTCGCTGAAGTTTTTACAACTGCGGACTCTGTCTACAAACTTGATGCACACGGAACACTTCAAACATTCTGCTAACAGCCGATCGTTCTTCTGCCGGTCATAAATCAGCCAGGCGGAAGTAGTCAGCTCTGCATCATTGTCCGAGATCCACTTATCGCAAGTAGCGGCCTTCACACCACGGACTTTTTTGCCCGGCAGGAAGTTCTCTGAATCTCCCTTTCGCTTTCCACAAGACATTCTAAAAGACTATCTGCATTTCTGGTCAGTGAAAGAGTGAAGAATAAAATCTTCCTCTCAAGAGCGAACACTTTTTTTTTTTTTTTTTTTTTTAATGTTTATTTGAATTCGGATAGCTCAACAGTACAGAAGTACAACTACAAAGAGTACCGAATAGAAGGCCCCGAGAACGGGAAACCAAAAAAAAAACAAAAAAAAACAAAAACAGCACCATCAAGTTACTGATTATGCACATTGCTTGAAAGCAAATCACAACAATGATTAAGAGTTAAGCTGTCTTTTAGCCAAATAGCCAATTTGACGCGGAAATCTGCGATAGTAGTGCAGGACTTCAGGTCGTCTGGTAAATAATTCCAAACAAGAGCCGATTTACTTGAAAAGGACAGAAAGCCAGACATAGATCTATAGCGATTGATACTCATGTTATGAGTTATAGAGCCGCGAGTAGTTCGGGTAGACGTACAGATGGGAAAGAGGGACTGCAAGCAAACAGCCGGCTTAATACAGTAACAGTGGAAAATGAATACAAGGAACAAAAATACTGATCGATATTGGAAAGAGGAAACATTGAGGTGGTGAAGAAGTGGCGTGATATTAGCTTGGGGTGATGCACCACAAGCAACTCGTACAGCGCGCCGGTGGAGTGAGGCTAGCTTGTTTCTATTTTTAGCGGATATAAACGAAAGGTATACAGGGAGAGCATATTCTAGATCAGGCTGAATAACACCGACAACGAAAGTACGGCGGGGAAACAGGTTCATCTGGCGGAAAGATCGACGCAGTACACCGATCTTCCGTGACACTGCAGTTCAACCCATCGATTCAAGTGCGAAGTCGACACCATGACCAAAGGTCGAAAGTGTGAATTGACTGTAGCAACCGGGTTGCTACAGGCGGATCAAGGAAATCTGGTGAAGTCTACGCCTGAGGCTACGGACCGGTGTAGA